TATTTATTTCTGAGACAGAGACAGAGCATGAGTGGGGGAGGGGCAGAGAGAGAGAGGGAGGCACCGAATCCCAAGCAGGCTCCAGGCTCTGAGCCATCAGCACAGAGCCCGACGCGGGGCTCGAACTCACAGACCGCGAGATCATGACCCGAGCCAAAGTCGGACTCTCAACCGACTGAGTCACCCAGGCGCCCCAACAATACATCTTTTGAATCTTACCTTCACACTGCCTGCATATGTCACAGGCCCTCTGTCCACTGGTGCTGGAGAAACTATTTGAAGGGCAAGCAATGCAGATGTGATCCTTGTTTTTCTCACAGAAAGTACCTAGGAAGGTGGATAATGGCTGTACGTGTTTGACAATGGACAGGCATCACCCGAAGTATCGTGACGTTGACAGGAAAACTAGAATACGAACCAATGATTCTCATCTCTGGCTGGTGCAGCCCTACACTTTCTTTTGGTGGACTTTCTAGAACTGCAATATTGCCCTTAGCATAGCCACAGAGCTACAACTAAACGAAGTGTAGATATCGCAACAGAGAAACCAATAGAAAGAGCACAGTTTCCTTCCTCTGCTGAACAAAAAACAATGATCTCTCTTGATGGTCCCAGGAGACCAATACGACCGATTCAGGGGATCAGTATACTAACAACGTTCGTGTGTCTGCTCTTCCCTACTCTGTGAAGCCTCCTGCCACAGCTTGTGCCCTGCTGTGCCCCCTGCTGAGCACAGATCCTTACAGATAAGGCTGACACTTACCAAGGTCTTGCCATGTGCCATGCACGGTTCACCACAGTGAACAGTTGATCATATGTTCTTCCCAGCAAAGCTGGGAGATAGGATCTTTTATTATCCCCAGAGGACAAAGCTGGGGCACAAGAGAATAAGTGACATGGCTGGTATGTCCACCCAGCTAAAATGTAGCATCCAAGAAATATGTGTAAATGAATTAATACAACATCATTGAAACAGAGCTCATTAGCCCTGACTACTAGACTAACCGAACCACGGTGTTCAACAGGATAGATCAAACACACATGCTAATTTGGTTCTTACCTGCTGGGCATTTGCTACAAGAATCCTGCATTGGTCTCGTCCTCTCAAAATTCATGACCAGCAACACGGTAGCCAATATGTTGTAATAGCCACTGCCCATGATGAAATCTTGCATAGATGGGATACAAGCAAGGCAGATTCCAGAAGGATTTTAGTCAAAGTAGCTGGTTTCGCAAATACCACTATGCAAAAGGTAAAACATTTCAAGAATGAGATGGTTCCTCCTTTTTAGAATTACCTGCATTTGGACCATTACCATTGCAATTCCATAAGACCGTAACTTGGGGTTTTTTCCGAAACAATCGCTGATGGAATGTTATGGAAAAGGTGGCGAATTCATAGACGTGTCTACGATCAGACAGGCTTGACTACACACACAGCCTTGTGCAGGCTGGCCAAAGTCTAAGAGCACGCTTTCCAACATATTTTGCCAAAATGCAGAAATAGCAATAGCAAGAACTTTTGGGGACTTTCATGGACACTTAGCACTGACGTCCAGATTTCAACAATGCCAGCTGCTTGCTGCCTCTGAGACAGAGTTCTTAAAATGACAATCTGTCAGTCGACAATCTGCAGTCATATCTGACAGTTCAGCTCAGTGGGAAGGCATCTCATTATTACTCTTCCCCCCTTGTCAGAACAATACGTGAAAATCTCAACACCGAATCGCTAAAATGTTGAAGCACCTCTCTGCTCAGCTGATTATCATATTTTCTTAATAGACATGTATTTGCCCATTTTGAGGTCTGAAGCTTATATAGTAACAAAGCTCAGAAGAATGAAATCTCCTGAGGCCAGGTTCTTGGTCCTTATGTAATAGGCTATGGATCAACAGTTATTAGAAGTTGGAAGGAAAAAAGTCTAGACCTGGAGAAACAGAATAAAGCCTCTATCCCCACCCCGACTCCATTCCCCCGACTGCCCCAAACGGACAAACCTTGAGATCTCAGGGCTGGTGAAGAACTTTCCACTCCTTGATCTTCAGAGCTGCGAGGTTCTGACTCTTGAGGAGAGCTGCCAGGTCAAACCCAAGAGTTTGGTGACTCAGCCGGGGGCGGGGCCTTGTGGGAAATCCCCGCCACAACTCTGTGAGGTTGCTCACTTGATATCTGCTGACCCCAAAATCCCCCAAAGCCCCCGTCCCCACTTGATAATGGCACTTCAAACCATTTCTTGGAAGCAGCTCTCTACTGTTAGGACATCTCTCTGATGACTTTGGGAAAAGGGTTTTGTCATTTTTTAAAAGAATCTTCCATGTCAAAACCTTTAATGGGTCCCGAACATCTTTGAGGTGTTGGGGATGAAGCCCACCTCTTAGATAAATACCAGCACTTTCGCCATACCCTGCCTCTTACCTGTATAATCATGATGATTCTATAGCTGTAACTCATTGAGTGCACTGATGTACCAGGCATCGCATAAGCCCTTTGATGAATACGGTCCTCAGAAGACCCCCAGGAGTTGATATCATCATCATTATTAGAACGGCACTATGCAAGTGAGAACATTGAGCCTATGAGTCTAGCCAGACCATCAGCAGGACGGGGAGCCAGGATTAGAACCCAGGTCAACCTGATTCCTTTCTACTGGGCTCCTTGCTGTGTGGGTGAGATGCGGGAAGGAGGAGGGAGAAATAGCATAGAACTTATATGGCGGATGACTTTAGGTAAAGTTGAGAGCTACGAGGGTTTTTCAGAAAACCATTATTTCCGTTTTTGTTTTCCAGACGGAAGAAGAGGAAGGGGAGAGCAGGGGAAGGAGAGGTGGAGGAGGTGGTCAGGCAGGAGGAAGAGGAGGAGGGTGTTCCAGAGATACTAAGAAGAACCTGTCCAGTATCGAGAGGCTAGGGGCCCTCAGGAAGACAACCAAGGGAACTGTAGAGCAAGAGTGGTTTCAACGAAAACAGATGGTTTTCTGTTAGGATCCAAACAGAAAAGAACTATTTCCCCCCAGGAGACATGGGGGCTTGGGGTCTCCCCCCAGGAGAGATGGGGTATGAAGAGAGGGGAGGAGGGAGCGAATGCTTAGTAAACACTTGCTATGTGCTAAGCACTTTACGTGTTTCCACGACTCCCATCATGCCACCGTGCTCCTTAGAAACTTTCAGTGGCTCCCTGTTGTCCACAAAACAAAACAAAGTGGAAAGAAAAGCTGGATCCCATGGTCCAGAGGGCCCAATATTCAAGGACCTCTGAGACCTGATCTGAAGTCTCCGTTTAAAAAAATTAACGGGGCGCCTGGGGGGGCTCAGCTGGTTGAGTGTCCGCCTTCTGCTCAGATCATGATCTCACAGTTCCTGAGTTCGAGCCCCGCACTGGGCTCTGCACTGACAGCTCGGAGCCTGGAGCGTGCTTCGGATTCTGTGTGTGTGTCTCTCTCTCTCTGCCCCTCCGCCGCTCACGCTCTGTTTCTGTCTCTTCCTCTCAAAAATAAATAAACATTAAAAAGTAAATTAATTAAGATATACCTCAAATAGCATAAATTTCACTATTTTGCTTTATTATTTTTTTTTATTTATTTTGAGAGAGAGACAGTACAAGCAGGGGAGGGGCAGAGAGAGAGGGAGAGAGAATCCCAAGCAGGCTCCATGCCGTCAGTGCAGAGCCCGTCACGGTGCTTGTCTCATGAAGCGTGAGATCATGACCTGAACCAAAACCAAGAGTTGGCCACTCAACCGACCGAGCCATGCAGGTGCCCCAAATTTCACTAAAGTGTACATTTCAGTGCATTTGGGTACATTCACTAGATTTTGCAACTATCATCAGTATATAAATGCAGAACATTTTCATCCCTCCAAAAAGATACACATGAGCAGTCAGTCACTCCCCAGCGTACCCTGGTAACCGCCAATCTGTTTTCTGTCTCTATGAATCTGCCCGTTCTAGATGCTCCCTGTTCACAGAATCATACAGTGTCTTGTCTTTTGCATCAGGCTTCTCTCACTTAGCACGTTTACTCAATATCCTTGCATGTATCAGGACTTCATTCTTTTTCACAGCTGCGTAATATTCCGCCGCACTGAGGTCCGCATGTTGTCTAGCCATTCATCAGTCGATGGACATTTGAATTGTTCCACTTTTGACTACTATGAATAATGTCGCCATGAATATTTGCGTACACGTTTTTGTACGAGCAGATTTTCAGTTCCCGGGTGCATACCTAGGCGTGAAATTGCTGCATTGTATGGTAATTGTTTCACTTTTTGAGGAATTGCCAGACTCTTTTCTCCGGCAGCTGCACCATTATATATCCCCCACCAGCAGTGCGTAGGATTCCAATTTCCCCACAGCCTTGCTAGCACTTGTTATTTTTCCGTTCTTTAAATTTTTTTTTATTTCTTATTTTAGAGAGAGAGAGGGTAAGAACATGCTCGAGTGGTGGGGGAAGCGGGGAGGGCAGAGGGAGAGAGAGAGAATCTTAAGTTCAGTGTGGAGCCTGACATAGGGCTCAATCCCACCACCCTGGGATCATGACCTGAGCTGAAATCAAGAGTCGGATGCTCAACCGACTGAGCCACCCAGGCGCCCTCTGTTTGTTTTTTTAAGCGTATTTAAAAAAAAAAAATTTTTAGGGGCGCCTGGGTGGCTCAGTCAGTTGAGCATCCGACTTCGGCTCAGGTCACGATCTCACGGTCCGTGAGTTCTAGCCTCGCGTCGGGCTCTGTGCTGACAGCTCGGGGCCTGGAGCCTGCTTCGGATTCTGTGTCTCCCTCTCTCTCTGCCCCTCCCCCACTCATGCTCTCTCTGTCAAAAATTAATAAACATTAAAAAATTTTTTTAAATTTTTTCATGTTTTTTATTCTTTGAGAGAGACAGAACAGTGCAACAGGAGAGGCAGGAGAGGGGGGAGACACAGAATCGAGCGGGCTCAGGCTCAAGCTGTCAACACAGAAACCAACGATGGGAGACTCCACACCACAAACTATGAGATCATGAATGACCTGAGCCAAAGTCAGACGCTTAACCGACTAAGCCACACAGGCGCCCCTATTTTTAGTTAAAATTTTTTTGTTATAGTCATCCTGGTAGGTGGTCTTTCATTGTGGTTTTCATTTGCTACCCTTAGTCCAATTTTATTATGTACCCCCCACACACACTGTCCTCCACATAATGGGACCAGTAGAGTATGGCAGCTGCTTAAGAGCCCAAGCTTTGCCGTCAGACTGGCTTGGATTGAATCGAGGCTCTGCAATTAATGGTCATAAGACCTTGGGCAAATTTCTTAACCTCCGTGAGTCAATTTTTCCAATCACGTCCTACAGATACAATAACACTGTACTTCACCCTTATCTAGTGAGGACTAAATGAGACATTGAACGTGAAGTACCTAGCTCAGTGCCTGGCACATAGTTCTCAAGAAGAAAGGAGCTGTTATTATGTGACTTATGACTTTAAAATTTCCCTCCCCCAGTTTCCCATGCTGATCATCTGTAAAGCAACCAGGGCAAGTAGCAAAAGAGAAGGAAAATGCACGGGCTGTCTACAGAATTTATTCCCAGAGTCTGAGAGTCCTCCAAAAGCCACTTTACCTGTGGTCATTGTGGGATCCCCTGCAGCGACTTCATCAGAGTTCGCCCCGTGGGAGTTTCATACCGCATAAAAATGACACTGCTGATCACCTAACACTTTCAAAGTCACGATCTAACCAGGTGACCTCCTCATTTACATGTGGTGCTCTGGGTTTAACACTGCAGCATGACATTTAACTGGACTGTATTTTCATTTAACTCAGTGCTGCTCACGGAGCTACGTTCTGGATAGTCTGTGGGCAGACACACTGCCTCCTCTGAAAGTGACGTCTGTCATTTCCCAGCACAGCAGTTAGCTCCCTGTTTCAAGCGGCGCTAGTGACACAAAAGTCTTTACCTAGAGAAAAGATTCTCAAGGCTAGCTTGACCAGCTCATGTTACACAAAATCCACCATTTTCAGAATTAATCCACTGAAGGCTCCGCACAGCTTGATTCCGGTGTTTAAGGAATTGTCCGCCGTTCGTGTCACCACATTCTTCTTTGATAAAAACCGTCATGGGCAGATTCTGTAGTTCACCTGATGCACACACTATCTGAGCTCATCAAGATAAACACTTCCCCACCACTCTCCGTCTAGGGTGTAGAA